CCATTAAAATTTTACAAAATGTTCTCATCTCCGAATCCAACTTAAGTTGTTTCTTCCTATTGTTATTACTTAGTATTATTTATGGCAGAGTTCATTCAAGAGGAAAACAGTTTATCATTTATATATTTAAAATCAAGATTTTGGGGCCAGGGAGATGGCTTAGTGGAATAAGCACTTCACTGGCAAGCGCAAGGGCCTGAGTTCAGTCCTTGGTTCTGCCCAAAATAAATAAATAAATAAATAAATAAAAAAAATCAAGATTTACATTACTCCTTTCATTACCCTTTACTTTCTTCTGGTGCTTTTTTAGTGTACTATTTGCTGAGCCAGCAGGAACTCTTGGTGCACTACGCAGAACGTTTTCATCCAGTGTCTGTTAGCCATGCTCGGTGTGGGGTGAGAAATAAGCCGCAGATCCCGAAGGGACCCTGATCCAGACAGAGCACCCCGAGGTCGCAGCGTCAGATGCCAGCGCTTGAAGATGGATGAGAATCGTTGTCTTCATCTAAATTGTCACCCACTGGTGCATTTCAGGGTCATCTGAAATATTTCCTGGCTAAATGAGGGAACTATCTTGAAGACTTTTTAAAATTAGTACATATTCACTGTACAGAGGAGCGGACTTCATTGTGGCGCTCGCTTTGCATGCCACGAACATAGCCTACTTGGCCTGCGCCCAGTGCTCTGCCTCCCTCGCCCTCCTCCCGCTTCCCTAATTTCCTTCTCCTTCTCTGATAGGCTGTCTTGAAAACCGTTGTGCAGCTTTTCTGGTGGGGGTGAGGGTGGGGCTCATCAGCAAGCTTTGTGAGAGAACTGACCTTACTGTTTTCTGCCCTCGAGTCCGCAAGGGCAAGGCGTGTGCTGCAGGAGAAGCTGTCTGCTCGGCGACTGCCAGCGCCGTGTCTGCTTTGCGTGCTGTGATAGTCTTAGCTTCTAGCACTGGGGTTTTGCAGTGAAGGATCATCGTTGAGATCTCGTTAATTCTTATGGGATCAATCAACTATTAGATGGCAGTGATGCATTAATAAAGAGATCTCCGTATTTTTTTCCAGATAAATTTCTCCCCATGAGCAGTGTTCATAGATGTGTTATAGTAGCTTTCATTAATCAGCTGATTGTAAAAGTCAAAATTTGAAGTCAACTATTTCAGAAATGGGAGTGGGAGTAGATGAGTTTTTTAACTGAATCTACAGGTGGACTACCTTTAAAAAGTTTTCTGGAAAATAATGTATTTAGTACAGAGTCTACAGGGTCTCACTACACAGATCAGACTCAGAGTGCTCCTCCTGTTCTCAGCCTCCCACGTGCTGGAATTACAGGCGCGCGCCACCACGGCCATCTCGGCGTACCCCGGGGCGGCGCTGGCACAGCGCGATGGGGATCGAACCCTGGTCGCTCAGGCTGCCTAAGCAGGAGCTTTATAATCCGCTGAGCTATCTGGCCAGCCTGGAAAATAATGTAGACATAAACTAAAGACAGCAGTAGAGAATTTACGAAGCAACTTAACAAATAATAATTACTATTTACTCTCCCAGGACATGTCTGGTTCATCTTGTTCGGGCCAGACTCTTGGACTGTAGGCATTCTTGGTAGGCCTGTAAGTTGGAAATATAGGAGGTCAGGAACTATGACCTGTTTGTTTTTAACTGTCAGTTCAGTATGTAGTTATATGTGGGTATTCTTTATGTTTGTAGAATAAATAAATGAGTAAATGATGATAGGAAGTTCCTGTTAGTGATAAAGCTCGACAAACGGCGTGGTATTTTGGAACACTTAGTCTCTCAGCCTTTAATTCTAGGAATCAAATCCTCTTAAATTCCATCTCTTCTCATTGGTTTTAGAAGAAAGTATGTAGTATTTTGTCTTTGGAATACTGAAACAAAGATACATTTCAGATTTGAAAATGAGCCTATTTCATAGTAACATCTGTAAAAGAAAAGTCATTAGAACCTTTTTTTTTTATTGTAAGGAATCATTAGGGGCCAGTATTGAGATAGCTCGTGCACTGCAGCACCCGCTTAGGCAAGTGGCGTTCAGTCCCCGGCACCACGTGCTATGCCAGCCCTGCCCCCAGGGTGGGCTGAGCTGGCCACAAAGGCCGGGTGTGATGGCGCACACCTGTAATCCCAGCACTTGGGAGGCCAAAATCAGGAGGATCACTATGAGTCCGAGCTGTGTAAGTGAGACCCTGTAACAGCCAAATACATTAAAAAATAATAATAATAAAGTAATCATTAGGAAACATTGTGAAAAGGTTATTGTGAGGGAAAGAATTACGTATTAATTTCCGGTCTGCGTGATCGTGTAGAATAAAAGAATAATGCTCAGCTTTCTTCCATTTGCCAACGACTTACAATAGAAAGAATTCTCTTTTCCTCAAATAAAGCAGAGAGAAAAAAGTATAGCAAACATTTAAACCTTTGAAAAATATGGCTGTATTTTTAAGTGTTACAGCTTTCTGACACGTACTCTTATATAAGATATTGTTTTTAGTTCCTTATGACAAATTAGGCTGTTACACTTTGTCACATTTTTAGAACATCTTTTGTACAACTACACTGTCTTTCTGCTTAATTAATAATTAATCATTTTACTGATTTGTTAAACTTCTGTGCTAGTCTGCATTTTCATCCCTGGAACAAAATTCCTGACGTCAGAGTTTAAAAGAGGAGAGGCTTGGGTGGCTCACGGTTTAGTCTCCAGCAGTGATGGTGAGTCCTTCAGAGCCCAAGTGTCAGCTGCAGCCCTAAGCCCACTTACCACAGCGTGTGAGCGCTGCTTAGACCTGGAACCTGAAGCTTTAGCTTGGAAAAAAATGCTGCTTGGCTGCTGGGGTGATGTGGCTCGGGCTTGCAGGCTGACAGAAGGTTCTGTGTGTGCCCAGTGTGGCACACCACCCCCGGCCCACAGCCAGCTGGCTCCAGGTCAATAAGGGCATGGTGGGAGATATGGCAAAGGAGCCAGGGAAGGACGCCCCTTTCCAGGTCACCCTCAGTGATGCGCCTCTAATCAGACCAGCCCTGAAGAGCAGATCACTTGTACCCAATGACTCTGACACCTTTCAAAACTGTGCTCCCCTTGCCCCAGCTTCCCAGGCACGTCCTTTGTGGTGAGACTCTAAGGCTTTGCAGCTGCCTTTTCCTCTTAATTCTCACTGTAGATCTGACCAAGAGCGGAACATTTGAGATCTAAATCGTAACATTCCTTCCACCCCTGGTGCTGAAAAGGCTCCTGTTCATCTCGTTTTGCACATGCATTTAGCCATCTGTAAGGGTCACTGAAGTCTGCACAGTTTTGACATTGCTGAAAAGCCTAAGAGCAAAGTTGCTCTGAGATTCAAGGCAAACTTTTCTGTATGCTCCTGTAAAAGTCTAAAGGAAGGTTAAATATCTCCAGCATACAATGGCACAAGCTAAACATTTTTATTCCAAAAGCAAGGAACAAGGATATCAAAGGGAATCAGACCAAAGGAATCCTAGAAACTGGCAGGGGACACACTTACCTCCTCCAGTAGGTGCTGGTGACCTGTGAGTTCCTAGGAAATGGATCAGCCCTAGCCCTACAGCATTGCCAGTGGGGGCCCACGTGGTCTCCCTTGGCCTGATTCTGTTTGCTTCCTGCTCTTCCCCCCCCCCCTCCCCGATGATCCATGTTCCTGGTGTCTCCAAGTTTGGGGATCTGTACTTTTGGCCTCAGTCTCACAGCTTCATTGTGCCTTCTGTGGGGTGGACTTTGGCCCCTCAGGCCTTCTTCTGAAGCCTGGGTGGAAACCACCGTGATTCGACACTTCTTTCCTTTAGATTCTTCGAATTCAGCATCGTGTGTATTACACCAGATCTGCCACTGGCTTGAGCAGTGCACCTGCTGAGGTGGCAGCTGATTGGGGGTGGCTGGTCTCCTTAGGTCGTCCTGGGGAACAGGGCACCCTGTGACTTGACGGTCTTCCAACAGAATTTACCGTTATACCCTTGAGCCTGCGTAGCATAGCTCAGGGTCTGGCTAATTCCTGAGCTGCTTTCAACCCATCTTTTCTGTTGTTCTGAAAGTACTAGGTTCATTTTAATCTTCAGGAACTGTGCTCCCCTTGCCCCGGCTTCGCAGGCACGTCCGTTGTGGTGAGACTCTAAGGCTTGGCAGCTGCCTTTTCCTCTTGATTCTCGCGGTAGGTCTGACTAAGAGCATATAGCAGTATCCAGGCCACAGCCTTGAAATTTTTCTGCTAGATTAATTAATCCACTGTCTAACTTCATGCTCACACAAAGTCTTAGGACGTGAGCAAGGTATAGACTGACTTCTGGACACAGTGCAGTACACGTGGTGCCTTGCCCAGTAGCCAGCGGAGCTCCCGCTCCTCCCTGAGCCATCCTCAGCCTGGCCTTCTTCCTGGCTGCATTCCCACCTCCTTCTGGCCTTCCACGTTTCACCTGGAATCCTCTCCTGTGCTCTGCTCAAAGCATTCTGGGGTTTTTTAACCCACAGACCAGTTCTGAAGACTTGTGACCCACATGGTCAGCCAGGGCTGGCCGCGGAACTCCTGGCTCGCTGTGATAGTGCAAAGTAAGAGCTTGAACCTCGGACTAGCACAGCTCTGTTTTGAGAGGATTTGTTGTTGATTGCTGAGACAGACTCTGTCTTACAAAAGACGCTTCTTTTTAGTTATTTAGAATTTGTAATGGATTTAGCTGCTAAATTTTAATAGATTTTTGGAGTATCTTTTGGTGCAACTATATTGCTTTTTGCTGAATTATTTAGTAATTAGTCATTTCACTAATTTATTTTAAGCTGTTCTATGTTTCTAGGCTAATCCATGCTTGTTGTGCTGTTATTTTTCTTTTGCTGTCCACACCGTTTGATTTGGCTGTGTTTTATTTGGGATGTGATCGCAAGGACTGGCCTATGGTTTTCTGTTGTCTTTAACAGTTTCAGTTAATAGGACAGCTGTTTGGGTTTTTAAAATAGAGCTGTTTTTAACTTCGACTTGACTCATGGCTCCTTTGCAGGTCGTGGTTCAATTCCAGAATTTTTTCACATTATGAAAAGGAAGTTCACGAGCAAAGAATGGGAAACAATCAGAAGCTTCAAGGATGAGTGGACTCAGCTGGACACGTTCTACAGGAACTGGGTAAGGCTGCTCTGCAGGTGTTCAGGGAACAGTCTGCAGTCCGTTATCATCACTGAGAGATACATGAAGTAACACCCTCACTAAGATAAGTTCTTCCGGAGTAGTACCGTACAGTGTAATGACACTTTGAGAATATGTAGCATATTTAATGCTCAATTAATGCTTTTAAACCTAAAAAATTTTTTCCTTTAATGTGTTCTCTCTGAAGTTCATGTATACAACCTTATGTAATATGCCGGAAGATTCCACTTTCACCTTTTCTTGAGGTAGCTAATTAAATTCTCCTAACAGACCTGTCAGGATGGGATGTTGTTAGCCCCACTTACACATCAGGGAGTCATTTGCTTCAAATTCACGTGGTGGTCTGTTTCTATCATACTGTATGGAGGTTTTTTGGGGTTTTTTTGTAAACGTATAGCTGCAACAAAGTAGAAATCTGGATGTATTAGCCTTGTAGATTTTATTAAAAGTTTAATCTACTCAGAGTCTAAGAGAAGAATATCTGCCTGTGTCATAGGCACTGAAAGAAAGCTTCATTAAAGCCCTTGGTGTTGGACTGGGATTTGAATTGCAACGGCTTGAATTTGACATCTCCCCATTAAACCTGGACATAGGCCAGGTTTATAAAGAAACACGTTTGTTCCTGGATGGAGAGGAAGAAAAAGAGTGGGCGTTTGAGGTGAGAAATTGATCAGCCGTGTTATAATTAGGAATTTCCATATTTTGTGCATGTGTTTAGGATTATTTTGGAGTGGCTGATTGTTGGATTTAAACTCAAGTGGAGTCAGTTTTGGTGCTCCGAAGACGGAGCCGAGCATGCTGTGAGAGCATGTGACTTCCAGGTAACAGCTGGACGAAGAGACCTTCTGGTTAAGCGGAATGGGACAAGAATAGAGGCTGTGAAACTGCAAGAGCTTCACATGTGTGAGCAGCCAGAGACAGTCTCGATGCAGGGACAGCCCGGGCGAGGCGTTGCTGGTCATGCTAAGGCGTTCTGGCCTCTCCAGCTGCTTGGTTTCTGTTGCTAGCTCTTCTTGGTTGCTGCTGGGAGAAACCAAGCCCAGACCCGGCAAGCTGGAAAGCCGTTACTGCAGGCCACTAGAGCAGCTGTCATCAGACTTGAGAACTAAGGAATAAAGAACTCGGCGCTCTTATCTTTTGCTTTTCTATGCGTCTTGGCTTCAGATTTCTCTTGTCTGTGTTTGTCATTCCGCACACGAGCTGTCTCATCTTCTCTGGGCCGCACTGCAGGAAATAAGCCGCCTCCCTCTTTGGCATAAACCTCTTTATCAAAACTCAGAGAGAGTGGTGCACGCTCTGTTGTAAGCCCAGAGTCCCTGTGGCAGGGCTCCGTGTCCTAACCTGGGTCCTGTGTGTGTTGTGAGCCAAGGAAGTGCTCCGCTGTGTTTCTTCCAGCTCACTTTGAGTGCCCGGAGCCCAGGGGATTAACTGGCTGTGTGATAACGCGCTTGTTCCTCCTACAACGTGCAAAGTGATGTGCAAAGAAAACAGTTACCCAGAGTTAGCAGTGAATGGTAAAGTAGGTGCTGGCTAGTTTTCTCATCTGTTTTTCTTCATAGGTGTTAGGTAGGGAGTGGTAAAATCCCATTTGTGCTTTAAGTGGCCCAGGTCCAGTTAGTGCTGGTATGTGGAAGCTAAGGGAGTCAGGTGTCCAGGATACGGGGAGTGCTCTGGCTTGTTCTGCTGTGTGCTGAGATATAATACAGTAGAAAACAAGTGGAACTGTAAGTGTGGGATGCCACTGGAAGACCTGGGTGAAGGTGTCAGCTAGGCCAGTGGAGCAGAAGGCTGTGCCTGGGGGGAAGCTAAGCGGTAACGCCTCGCGCTGGGGGAGAGCAGGCCATCCGAAGCTTGAACTGAGATTACCTAGGGATGAGGTACATACTGAATCTATGAAGAGAAGCTCAAATTGAACTGGCTGTGAGATTCCTTAAAGAGCACGGCCCGGGCAGAGCTCTGGGGATCCTGATGTTTCAGGGGAAGGATGAAGAGGCCGAGAAGGAATGACGGCGGGGTGCAGGATCCGCCACCAGCTGGCAGCCACCCGTTCTGACTGCCATGTCACAGTTGAGGATGTCCAGATGCTGACAGGGTCTGCGTGGGTGTGGTGAAGCTTTGTTTTGGACTTCATGCCATTGAATTGTGGTGTGTAGCAGTGTAACAGGTAGCCGGGAGCACTTCTTGGGGTTTGAGCTGACAGTCTGTTCTTGCCCACAGTTGTCTCTGATCCCTGCTGTAGGCCCAGCTACTACACAACTTCTAACCTATGTTTTCCCGAAAGTAACTGGCCAAAATGTCTCTGTGATGTTCATTTTACTGTACATTCAGTGTAAGTAGTGAGGGAGATCCTACAGCAAAAGTTACTTTGTTTACAATATTGTTGTGATAAATTATTGTGATTTTTGGTTGTTTGAGGGAGGAAAATAGCTTTCTTTACTTTGGGGCATGGTAGGCGACAGTCTTAATATCGCATAGGTCAGAGATACTCCGAACAGTCCGTCCGTTAGCATCATTCTTAAGTGTGTGGTTACCCTGTGTACTACACAGTACTGTGTTGGGAATGTTTTATGTATTAAGATATTCCATATATGTAGGAACTGGGTCACATACCACATTTCCAAAATATTATTTTAGGTAATTTGAAATCTGTGGGATTTTTTTTGTTTGTTTCTTTAAGGAAAAATAAGAGGTTTTGTTTTCTGCTTATCCTTTGAAAGCTTTTAACCTGCTGAATTTTCTGATTCTTAGTCCTTCTATAACTTTTTTTTTTTTTTTTTTTTTTTTTTTTTTTGGGAGACAGGGTTTCAATTTCAGTTCAGGCTGGCCTTGAACTCACTTTGTACAGCCCAGGCTGGCCTCAAACTCATAGTGGTCCTCCTGTCTCAGCCTCCTGAGTGCTGGGATTACAGGTGTGCACCCCCATGCCTTGGCCTCTTCTCTAATTACTTGTCTCAGATTTGATGTTGAATTTTGATTTTTACTAATTTGGATATCTTAAGGTGGGAAATTATGAAAAGAAGGATAAAGGATAAAAGGTCCTTAATGACTATTTCTGGTTATCGTTTTCTATTCAACTGATGGGTTAATAGAAGAATGCCTTGGGTAGGTGGTTTTTAGTGAAAGTTTTGGTTTTTAATAGTTGTTTATAATTTTACCTGTGTCTGTCTCAGTCACTATTATGTTTTCCACTCCTTCCACTTTCTATCATTTGTAGAAAATTACGTATGTGTTAGGTGTTGCCGCCTGTAAATTTCTGCCATGACTTGTCCATAGAGCCACTTATGTAGTTAAATGCTTATGAGCCAGGATTTCATCAGTTTTTTATGTACACTTAAGCGTGTGCAAGACTAAGATCACCAGCAAAGAGCAGGTCGCTGTTTGTGTGCCTGTATAGTATCCTTGTACAGAGTGCATACAGCCCAAAGCTATTCTTTAAGAAGCATTAAGCAAACCGAAAGTGAGCAGTTAATTCAAGTGGGGACAGGTGTTATGTTTGAAAACGTGATGGCAGGGGTGAGGGCTGGGTGCAATGAGTGCCTGATCTTGCTTGCCTGTGGCTTAGCACCTGGAGGAGGGCCTATATTTGTGTGTGTATACAAAGAAAGAAAGGTTTTTAAAATGTAAATAAAGTGTAGATTTATTTATTAATGTATTTCCTTTTATTTTTCAGGAAAGCAAAATAGATGAGCACCATTTTGTTGCAGTAGCTCTTAGGAAACCTGATGGATCTAGACAAAAGGATGTAAGCTTTGTCTGTTTTTAAAAAGCTTAATCAGTGTTAAGTTTATCTTTTATTGATCAAAACAGACACCTTATATTTGGTTAAAGGTGTTTTATTTTTGTAAGATTATAGACTTGGTGTGTTTTGTTAGCTGGGATTGCAGAAACTTTTAAAGATCATGTTCCCTGCTTTGTATTGAAATGCACTTACATTACAGAGAAAAATGTTGGCAATTCTGTCATTATGGTTATGTTTGTATTAGAAATTCGTTGTAATTGCTTGGAGTGTTAGAAGCATATCTTTAATCCCAGCACTCTGGGAGGAAGTTTAAGCCCAGCCTGGGCAATTTAGCAAAATCTTGTCTCAAAATTCAAGTAGAAAAGGAAGCTGGGGATGTAGCCCAGTGAGAAAGGCCTGAGTTCAGTTTCTAGTACAGCAAAACACACTAAAAAACTATGACCACTGTCTAAATCATCTTAACAGAAAGATATTCTCTAGAAAACTGGGACTGTGTCGAATATGAAAGTTGAACGTAGGAAAGTAATGGATTGCATATCGAAGCTCTTCTCCATTTTAAAGTAATATCCTAAATTATACCCAGAATAACAGCATCAAATACATGACAGATCATACACTGTGGCATAACACTAGTCTCACTGAACCTCCTTTTCTTTCACAATGCGTTTGTATGTTGTATGCCGTTATCTGTTACACAAAGGAGCAGAAACTTAGGGGCAACATATGCATGTTTTTGCAGACATTATGTCTTTAAGGAATTCTGATAATGTTATAATCAAAACTACATGTGCATCATTTCTAGGGAATGCACTTGAGGGACTGTGGCATAGTTACTATGTTAGAAAAATAGACCACTCCTTGAATACATTAATCAAAGAATTAAAATTCTTCATACTTTATCCTCCTTACAAAAGAATAGTGTGTTAAAATCGATAAATGTTACTGGAAGGCATTCTGATTCAGGTTACTTGGCCTTGTGTTCTCAAGTTAGCATTATGCTCTGCGAATATCTTTTTTTTAAAAAAAAAATATTTATTTGGTCCAGGGTCTTGCTATGCAGCTTGGACTCGTGCCTAGGGTTCTGGGGCTGGCAAGGCATACAGTACTGGGGTTTAAACCTGGGTCCTTGCGCTTTCCAGGCAGGCTGTTGGACCGCTGAACTATCTCCCCAGCCCACAAATATCTTTTCTACTCCTTTGTAGTTCTTGAGACATTTTCATATGTAGTATTTTCTTTGCTTCTTGTTTCCCTATATAGAACTTATTGGGCAGCACTGGCGGAGTGAGAATATTAGATTCCAGATCTACTTAACCCATGTTTAAGCTTCGGCAAATTGAACTTCCTGAGCCTCAGTTTCCCTGTCTGTAAAGCTGAGATAACTATACTGCAGTGCAGCTTTGAGACATAAATCATAGGAAATAAGTGTTGAACCTTGTCAAAAGCCTGTATAAAACCTAAGTACTGTTTATACAGATTGAATATCCTTGTCAGAAATGCTTGGGATCAGACAGTTTTGTATTTGGCAGGGTTTGGGACTGTTTGCACGTCTAAATAGTAAATTCATCAGTATTTTTGGTCTATCTGACATGTACCTGCTGAAGGTAGTTTATACATCATTTTAGTATACCTATGTTTTGTCTGACCTATCACTCGGGGTTAGGTGTGGCATCATGTTGGTGTTTAGAAAGTCTTAGGTTTCTGAAGTATTTTGGATTTTAGATTTTCAGGTTAGGGATACTCAGCCTGTATCTAGAATGTATAGATTATAAAAGAGCTACAGTGGGCTGAGTTCTTGCATAAAGACTGAATTTCAGAGTAGAAGATGCAGTTTTAATTTCATGCTGTATTATCTCCACTTGGGGAGGATAGCCTCTTTAACAAGGGAGGCAAGGAAGACTTCCGTCCACGTACAGAAGATTCCGTCTAGACCCATATCTCACCATATATCAAATCACAATCAAAGTGGATCAAAGAACTAACTCTAGAACAGAAACACTTAACCTGCAGGAAGATAAAATAGACAAACCTGAAAGTAATAAAGCCAAGGAATTTCTGAATAGAATCCTGGTTGTACAGGAATTAGTCTGCAGAGTCAGCAAGTGGATTATATCAAATTAAATGGCTTCTGTATAGCAAAAAGGACAGCCTACAGAATGACAAAAGTTTGCTAGCTATTTCTTACAGATGGGACTAATACTTAGGATATATAAAGAACTCAAAAATTTCACCGTCTCCCAAAAATGAAGTAGAAATTGGCAAGTGAAATGAGTAGACACCTCACAGGAAAGGTACAAATGGCCAGTAAGTGCGTGAAGCTTTAAGGTTGCGGGACACTAGAGAAGTGCCAACTGCAACCAACACTGAGGTTCCATCTCAGCCTGGGAAGAATGGCCATCTTCAAGAAAGCAGTGGTGACAGGTGCTGGGTAGGCTGTGGGCAGGGCCAGGTGCTGGTTAGGCGACAGGTGCTGGGTAGGCTGTGTGCGGGGCCAGGTGCTGG